AAATGATAGTGTGAAGAATTTCTTTGTGTTTTTAATTGTAAAAGTGTCAGAAACCTACAATGAAAGGCTGACACTTGATCTTTTTTAACCTTGTGGAATTTTTTACCAATTTTTATCAGTGTTTAAGAAGAGTTCTTCAAAGCATTTTTTTAAGCTGTTACTTCTATGGTGGTGTATAAAGGATAAAGAAGGACTCAAAAGTTTTTTGACTTTTTGTACATAGTCTAAACTTCAAATTATGAAGAAAATAAATCCTGAGTTATCACAAAAATTGTAACTATAAGCTTTGATTAATTTTAGTTTTGAAAAACTTCTTTGTCATCGCCTGTAAAGTTAAAAAATGAGGCATGCTGTAATAATGTTGGAGAATCTATTTGAGACTACGGTGTGAAATAAAAGTAGTTTAGCAACTTCGCTTATAGAAGTAATTTCTTTTACCTGACTATAAAAACGCATTTTAAATCAAAGCAGTTGAGGTCCAAAACTAGGCGAATATGCCGAGTGTAACAATTCTGATTGTTCCAGAATATTTTTATCAGATAATGCAACAACATATGCAGGTGAAAAGCACTTGGAAAATGTACATAATTGTCGAATGTATTCAAATCTAATAGTTAATTGATTAATTATTACATCCAAAAATTTTTTTACAAATGTTTTTACAAGTTTTTAGTTACCCCTTTATAACTTGGCGCCTCGTGATTCGTGCGCCTGGAGCAGTTTGCTCCAACTGCTCCACAGTAGCTACGCCTCTGCTGTTTTCGGATTAAGCAGCATATATGGTCAAAGCAGGACAGAACAGAATTTGAGCATAATGTTTCCTAAATTTCTGCATGTGATGTTTAGTCCATGGAATAAACAGAGTAGCCAAAAAATCAGTATATATATTATATATATACTGATTTTATATATATACATATATATATGAAAAACTCATGAATCATGATGAGGTGATGGAAAATATGTGGTAGAAAAGGAAATGCATATTTTGAGGTTTTTATAGCATATAATATCCATCTAAAGTGCACTTTTTAGCACCTAAAAATCCGGTTCTTGGGTAATCACCATTCCCTTGCCAGTTACCTTCTTTGGAGGAGTAGGAGATGATTTCCATCCTGTGCTGGCCTATTTACTCTCAGGATCCAAATGTTATAGCCAAATTTCATTACTAGTGATAATTGATACAAAAGTGCAACACGTAGATTAACAACCAAGACATTAAAAGTCTTTGCAGACTTTTATCTAAATATATAAAATTACTTGTTCTGACTGACTGAGTGAATGATTGATTCATCATTGCCCAGAGCAAACAGCTGAACCTAAAGAGGTGAAATTTGGTACACAGTTAGGCTACATCATGAAAACGCACACTAAGAAGGGATGTTTCAAAATTCCCCTGCAGGGGAGAAGTAGAGCATTAAGGCTTAACCTGGAGAACGGCTTCTATTATGCTATTTTAGATGCAATTTTTTTGTTTTTACTACATTTAGTCTTCATTGAGTACTTAGGTGTATTAAATTGATAACATTTCAGATATTGTTATAAATATTTTTATATATTTTGATTTTTTAACCATATGTTTGAACCAATTTGAATTTGTTATTGCATATTGGTTCGATTATAGAACGATTGTAAACGTTCCAGAAAATTGTCAAATTGTAAATGGCTCGTCTGATTCTCAGCAATTCTCATCATTCTTAGCGGTAGATGTTATATAACAATTACTATGGTTATTGAAATACTGAATATAAATGGGGTTTGCTTGCAAAATCCGCGCGGGCAAAGCCGTGAGTAACAGCTAGTTAATTCTATAAGTTTATATGTAACAGTAATTAATCAGATTTTATTTTTTTATGTAACTTCATTATTTCAGTGAAATGTTTTTAAAAATTTCTTCATCTTGATCAAAATAATTTAATTTTAGTTCTTTAATTAATTGATTTATATGTAAAACAAGTTTATTATTATTTTTTTTTCTTTTCTTTTTTTTGAAAAAATATTTTCATTTTTAAGTTTTTATACATTCCAGCGTAACATAGTAACGAGATATCCAAAATATTCGACACATATTTTCATTACTTATATTTCAAAAACTTTTCAAATATTTTTCATACTGTGCTCAAATATACATCTTTTCAAATTAATGGAAAACTTTAATGCCATCACACTTAATATCGGCCCACCAGTGGCCAAGCGGTCTTTGTTCCCTGAACACTGGAAGTTCGGTCGTGGGTTCGCGCCTCGCTCGGATGGGCTGGCCACGCGGAGTTCTCCGGGTTTTCTCCACGTCTATAACGCCATTTCCATTAAAAAGACCTCCCAGAAGGCATCCCTCTAGGCAGATCGCCTAAGTGTTGCGTTGCCATAACTAAACAAACGGTTGGTTGGTTGCTGTTTTTTAGCGCAAGGGCCACAAAGGCCAAGCTGCGCCACAAAACTAAACAAAAAAAAAACACACTTACTCGTAATATTAAAAATTATTATAAAAACATGGAATATATGAAAACAAATGATACATAATTTATGAACTTTTTTATAATTATCTTTTTATTATTAATAATAATAATAAAATATTGGCAAAGAAAGTTTGGTTCTATTGCTTTACGTAATTGTATAGAAAGATTTCTAAATTTTGAATTTTGAAATTTTCAATGAAATAACATATACTGTATTATCGAATTTAATCAAACGAACTACACATTTTTCCCGAAATGACAAAAAGTATGCTGGTGGAAACTTGGAAAAATTGGGACAAGAAAGGCAGGCTTTCTTTCCACTTTTTAACAATGCATTTCGGATTGAGGGAATAATTTTTTTAATCCTCCTCAGATTACACATTTAAAAAAAAGGATACGTAAATATCTCTTTTTAAAAATTAAACTATGATTTAACAAAGATTAGGATTAACGTCATAATACATGAATCCATCAGTTTCGATATCTCACTACCGCGCTATTCCACTTCGCGTTTATAATACATTTTATCGTTTACTACGACGTCATACCATAGTCCTAAATCTCTGTTTTATTATTTAGATTAATACTAGTTTTACAATGAATTATCGCGACATGTTCTTTAAATCTTATCAAATATAAATGCGGATAGTCGGAAAGAGACGTGATAAAAAGTCACTAGTCCCTGGATTATAAGAAAGAATATTTTATATAGCTTATTACATAGTTTATCGTGTATATCGCAACTTTCGACTCTTCTCAGCCGCAAACTGCTCAATTATATCATCAGAAGACAATACTTGCAATTTATTATTCTCAATAAACATAAGGCTTAAATCTGACAGTTTCTATTGCTTTAATGTTGTATGCAAATAAATTCAAGATTAAAAAATTTAAAAAAAAAAGACCAAAAATTAAAATTTCTATCTTCTTCAATTAACGGGTAACAATGAAACTCAACAATTGACCTTTCATTGTTTTGCTCTTTTATTGCGAAGAGTGCGATTTCGAGTGATTGAAAAATGTTTTTTGATTCTAGCGATTATCGACCCTTGCCTTCACCCTTGGGGTAAGAAATTTTTCACATTTTATTGATATTTGTGCAAATAAGAAAGTCATTCGAAAAATTAATGGCTTTAAAAAGAAATTGCTCGGTGCAAATGGTAATTAATTAAATTTAATTTAAATTGTGTATTAGGAAGATCGATGCTATTAAATTTTGGTTGTTAAAGATCGAGGGTTGGGGAGATAAAAGGGATCATGTGTTTTATCTCGAGTAGGGTCAGACCTAATGACAATTTTACTCTTTGTTAGCATTTACAAATATTTTAAAATGAGGGTAGAGACCCTCAAAATTAAGCTTTTTACCATTTCACAATAGTTAAAAATATAAAAAGTTTTTAATAAAATATCATAACAGATGGAGCCATCAAATGTTGCCGGGAAAGTTAAGCAACTCGTTGCTGGATTTTTAAAATTAAGTTTAGTCATTTTTAGACAGGTTTTTCTCTCATTCTTCAAAACTCTCCTTGTTTAGGCGATGAATATATAGTCACTCCATATATATAACACAATGTTGATAATTATTTATATATCTATCTATAACTATCTACACGTAGAAAAGGTACAGGCGGCTACGTATTCATCGGTTCCATTAAAAACTATAGACCTCTGACGTGATGCTATTGGATCCATCGTTAAGTGACACATACCTCCTGTATATATAATCAAAGTTCGATAGAGCACCACTGTTCTCTTCTGACATTGACTAAACCAAAAAATCTCAGAGATAAGAATTACAGTAATGAATTCTGAATTCAAATTAGGGGAGGCCCTACACGTCCACAAAATACTAATAACTTTAATAACGCGAATTTCTAACCGATAATTTGCTTATTTCATGGAAAATTTTGTGAAAGGTTAGATAAAATATTTTAATTTCTCTATTAATTTTACAAATATTTATTGCACTGTAAATTGTTTCTTTCCACTTTTAGTGAGCGATTGGTTGAAGATAAGGAAGAGCATGGATTAGATAATAACGTTATGGTTCCTCCAACAAAGATGAAAATGGATAAAGACTTTAGAAAGCAAGAAGATAGTACGGAGAATAGTTTTGGCTATACTATTGGCTATACTATTGGATATACCATTGGATGTGCTATTAGAGATAGAAAGGCATTGAAAAAAGCCGGATCTTTCTTCAAGGCAGTATGGAAACCAGTCAAGAGGTAAGTTTCTATGTCAGTAGAAAGTTCGATTTAGCTCGGTCATTCGTTCGCCTTTACAATTCTCACTGAATCCAGTGTGATGCTAAACCGAAGTACCTCAAACAGCAACAATTATACACAATATTAAGATGTATTCAGAGATTTGAGCTTGAAAACTTCGTAACTTTTATGAAATTGGCATAACTTTCCTATATTTTTGGCGCTACATCGAGATTTGCCAAACTAGTTTCATTTCTAATCCAATGAAAAGATAAGCTACAAATGAAAATGATAATAACGGGCAATTACTGTATTTATTGTGACATCGTCACAATGTCGGGCTGCAATTTTTAATAGTGGAAATTTATAGTATAATTTTTTCAAATTGCAGCCCAATAATTATAAAGCTTTTAAAATAGTAAAATTGAATTTAAAATATCGCTGAAAGAATATCATTCAGAATGAATACATATAACATTTTTTGATTCTCAATTTGATATAATATTTGCAATCAATCAATATAAATACGGCCGAACCTTCATATTGCGCTCTCAATATGTTTTGATAAAATTCAAATTCAGATATAGGTTTTCAATAAATAATTAAACTTGTTTTTCACATTCCAGATCAGCGCAAAAAGTATGGAAAAACATGAAAATTGAAGAAACTGAATACGTTCAGTTTGAATAAGGATCTCTTTTCCTCCATCATTGCATCAAGTATAAGATTTATCTGCTTGATTTTGTCCAGGTTTGTCTCGGGTAAGTGTTTAATAGGAATATTTTTGTGTTTTATACTCAGCACTTAGGAGATTTTCCACTCTCAACTTATAAATTAAACACTATTTCTATCCCCGATGTACCACCAACATAAATGGCCAGGTAACAGGAGAACAGGAAACGTGTATTAACGTGGAGATACATTATGTTCTTCATACGATTCAGATTTTACATATAGACAGACTAGGCTTTTAAAGTATTAGAATTATATATACAGTATATGTATATTCTTGTCCAATTATCGACAAAAATATATTCTGAAAGTGTACTAGTCTCGTAACATAGGAAAGTAACAGCGTAAATGGGAGTAGAGATTAAAATATTCAGCAAGTTTATGTGAATATGAGTACATGAAGATTCTAATGTAATCAAATTAATAATAATATTCGTTTTTTGAAACCGTGTTTTCGTATTTATTTACTATTGAACACAAGACTGTGTTATTATTAAAACACTTGGCGTTTATCCACTTTATTCAACTGAATAAAGTGGATAAACGCCAAGTGTTTTAATAATAACACAGTCTTGTGTTCAATAGTAAATAAATACGAAAACACGGTTTCAAAAAACGAATATTATTATTAATTTGATTACATTAGAATCTTCATGTACTCATATTCACATAAACTTGCTGAATATTTTAATCTCTACTCCCATTTACGCTGTTACTTTCCTATGTTACGAGACTAGTACACTTTCAGAATATATTTTTGTCGATAATTGGACAAGAATATACATATACNTTCACAGATTTTAGAAGAAATTTAGAGATTTTCATCTCTATGCAGTGTACAGTACATACACTGTTTTCTTTATTTATTATGTTTATTGTTTAACAAAACAATATGTGTTTGTTTATTTTTAATTTTAATTTTCGTTGTTATTTGTTCATTATAAAATAACCAAAAAGAATTTAAGAAGAGTTTAAAAATAACAAGAAAAGATTTAAAAATTCAAAGATAAAAAAAGTTTAATAAAATTTTAAAAAATAAAAGAATGCAAATAAAAAAAATTTAAAAATTTGAAATATATTTCTTGATTAATGAAATTGCTCACTTGTTTTGAGAATGGTTTGAACACTTATTTGGACTTTTCGACTGTGGCTTCTTCAAACTTGTCTTTATCTCGATTTTGACTTTACTCCGATTATGGCACTTTAACTCAATTGTGACTTCCTTATTTTGACGTTATCCCGATTTTGACTCTAATTTTAATTATATCACGATTGTGACGTCTCGAATATTGATTTTAACTAGATTGTGACTTCACCAATTTTGACTTCCAATTGCGTCCTCTCGAACTTTGTCTTTACTTTGATTGTGACTCTTCTAATTTTAATTTCTAATTGTGTTTACCCGAATTTCGGCTTTCCATAATTGTGTCCGTTGTTTATTTTGTTATCTAAATTTGTTGACTACCTGATGAAGGCGATGAACATGAAAAGATAAATAAAACAAAATATTTCTGAAATATTAAAGCATACACATTATGAAATGGTATCTGAAATGATGCAGCTGCAAAAGAAAGGAATTTTAATCAATTTAAGAATGTTTCGGGAAGATGTTCTCTCCACAGTTCTGGCCTTGCATCAATTTGAAAACTTCTAAATTAATTATCTTTTTTACAAAGATAGTTTGATGAATGATTAAATGCGACCAAAATATTAATATTAAAAAAGTACAAATTGTCTCTGTAAATAGTTTTCGTTGTCTAATAAACATTTTTGTTTGATTTTGCTTTTAATTATTTCAAGATCACAAAAACTTGTCGTTATTTTTGTACTTTAGATTAAAATTAAACATGAAAAGCTTGTATTGTCGAATAATTGGAGTGGTGCAGCTTTGTGCCAGGTTCTAGACAAGTATGTAAAATGTTTACCCACTTCCAATTTATCAGTGTATAAAGTATTTAAGTACAAGTTGTTTACATACGTGTCACAAAAAGAACAGTTTTTTTTTTTTTTTTTTAATGTTCGTATTTCCAATATCAGTACATATCAGTGGAGTGCCCTGACATTTGATGATAGGGAAGCTGTGTTTCTGTAAGAAGCCGACATCCAGGGGCAATCAGTCAATTGCACGTCAGTGATGGTCTAGAGTCCATTCGTATCGTTTGTTCTATAAGCCAGTAAAAACCATAGACTTCTCTAAATGCATTTTTATCACAATTACATTCCGAATCGCTAGCCACGATATAAGGGCTACAATTAAAAATAAAATAATAATAACTTACTGGTGAAATAAAATGTGTGGTGGATGTACCGGTACATACCCGGTACAAAATATTCTTCAATTGTATGAATATACTTTTTAAAAAATTTCGCTTATAACAATGTAAACACAAGAATGAGTGTAATTTCGATTTCAATTAATGTAAATGAAAGATTTCCCCCCTTTCGAATAGCCCCCTAAATTTAAATTTAACACGCTTTATAGTATTCAACGATAATTGAAATTGGGTGGTGTAAGAACCTGTTCAAAATGGACACCCGGCGAAACGGAAGTCGTGTGATTCCGGCTTATATAGATTTACTGTATTTATTTGTTTATGGCATATGTCTGAAGTGTTATTGCTTATACTCCTGGCTGTACGATTACCAAGATTTTTTTCATCTAAATCTAATCCCCCCCGAAAACACTCATTTCTATTCACTGAAGATAATTTAGATGAATGTTAATACTTTAGATACTAACAGCAAATATTTAATAAAAATAATACAATTGTTTTACTATGACATCGTCACAAATCCAGCTTGCATTTAATTTAAAAAATCACGTGGCTTCCGGTTCATCCCAGAAGTTCGTATATAGTTAGTCATATGTCCAATACCTAAGCTTTCTAAATTTCATCTGTATTTACATCTATCTAACTCCTTATCGAGATTTTAAGGAAGGACAGACAGTCAGACGGATAACAATGAAATGTACAGTTCTTTAATTTGTAAATTACAGCCCAGATAATAATAATATGAACAATGTGAACGATAATAAATGTAAACAATATTAATTCAACCGTGTATATAACGGTTAATATGAACAATTTCAAATTCAAAAATTATTCAAATTAAATTCTTGTATTGAAATAAACGTAAAAATAGTCAATTTTAACAATTCAAATAACAATAAATACGTAAAATGTCAATTTCATTAATTTGTGTAACAATAAACGAAGATACAAATGCATTTTTAAAAAATAATTTCAACATAATTATGTAGTTTTTTTTACAGATCGTATGCAGTAAATCCTGTAAAAGACAGAACCCGAATGAAACAGAAATCTGCCCAAACGTGATAAATTCTTCGACTGGGGCGATTTTCTATTTATAAAATCAAAAAACCTGTTTAGAACGGAAAGCTGGAAAACCGGAAAATATATTCGGTACCGTGCGTTTCCGTCTTATGCAGGCTTTACTGTAATGGAATATCATAGAATACTTGTTGAGAAAACAAGGAAAAATTGAGTAATATAACAGTTACGTGTGAAATACGTAACAATGATAATTTTTATCACGTAATGATACGTAACAATGAATCTTCAGTAAATCTGCATCACCTAGACGAAAACGTTGTTTAACAAAATTCTCTGCAGGCAGCTACAGTCAAACTGTTATCTTCACATCTTCATTTTCATAACGGTGACCTGCTAAATTCCCGAAAATGTTAAAGTCAGAATATTGGCAGAAAATAATAATAATCACNATTAATATGTATTTATTTTTTAGAAAATACAAGGGAAGCGGTGCATCCACCGCTTCCAATGACAGCACGCCACTGGTACATATTGTTCTATCAGAGACAATATACGTAGCATATATAATTAAAATACTGGGTATATACAGTCGACCCCCTATAACACAGTTGATAATTCCGTTTTATATGAATTTAATTTTGTACGAGTCACTTAGAATTTACAAATACGTGTGCCAGGCTGTGAACGGTTCACATATTTGTAAAATCTAATTGACTCGTACAACATGGAATTCATATAAAACGGAATTATCAACAGTGTTATAGGGGGTTCGACTTGTATACAGTTTATTATTTATCTTTGCAACTGTAAAAATATCATTTTAATCGAATTCTAAATAGCAAACGGATTGGTCACTTTAAATGACACAAAAATTACGACAACACGTATATACTAATTAATTAATTATTAATTCATCAAAAACGACATGGACAGAAGAAGGTCAAAGAAAATGAAACTTGTTATGAACAGTAGGGTGCACAAAGGTCGGTTTAAATTATATCATATATTATTATTATTCGATAAAAAGTTATCGATGAAGGTGTAAAGCTATCAAATAAGACATTTCATAAAAAGAAGTTAATTCGGTACTCGTTAAATCCAGGATTATAAATTTATACTGTACAAAGTGCTTATGAATTACAGTAGTTATGCGACTAAGACGATGAAGGTTTTTTTTTAAATTATTAAACTTTGTACAAAATTTATTAAAAATTGAATTTTAGTTTTTTTCCTTTCTGAGTCGTCATAATATAAGCCTACTGTGTATCAGGGGGTTTCCAACTTCTTAAGTTTGTTTTGTTAAGTTATATCAACGCAACACTTGGGCGATCTGCCTAGAGGGATGCCTTCTGGGAGATCTTTTTAATGGAAAAGGCGTTACAGACGTGGAAAAAACCCGGAAAACTCTACGTGGCCAGCCCGTCCGAGCGAGGCGCGAACCCACGACCGAACTCCCAGTGTTCAGGGTACGAAGACCGCTTGGCCACTGGTGTGCTCGGGGTACACACGACCGAACTCCCAGTGTTCAGGGTACGAAGATCGCTTGGCCACTGGTGGGCCCCGCCCAACACGACCCAACCTCTTAAGAGTCTGACTCTTAACAGATTACTCGATTTACATGAGGATAAATAAATTCTAAGTAGTGTGGGTTTCGATGAACATTTATTATTATTATATTTATAAAACACACACATATATAAAAAAAATTATATTTTTTAGTAATTAAAATGTATCTTTGACTTTATTAAATTAAAACATATAATATTTAATTTTGATTTATGTTTAATAAAAAAATAGTAGTATTAATATGATCATATTTAATTTTTATTTCATTCTATTTGTAGTTTATTCTTTTTTTTATGTAGAAAAAGATGTACGAATTAAATTTAATTTTACGAAAAGTTTTTTTTTAACTCTTACCTTCCTGTGGGTACTAAGAGGGCGTTTTTAGCAAACCTATTACGGGTTTGGCCAGATCCACAATGGGTATCCACATGGTGAGGAACGGGCCGACATATCCCAGACGGATTACATCCTGAAAAATTCCCGGGGTTTTTCGAGGGAGTGGTCCGTCCTAGATATTTTGCGTCCCCGTCTCTTACCGTTCTCCATTTTTTACTAGTCTTTATGACTCATCTCCATTATTCAGCGCTGTAGTCGTGCAAGGGCGTACCAGGGCAGTGCACTGGTACCAGGTACGGTTTAAGCAGGACGAAGCCCTTGTAACTTTGAACATCTAAGCTGAACTTTAGACTATATAATTCGGCCAAGAGACTGAAAAAATCCTTCTTGCACAGATTTTTTGCGCTGATTACGAATATATAGGTCAGGGATGGCAAACTTTTTTTGAGCCCGTGTACCATATAGTAAGCATACTTAGCTTTAAAGATGTTTATGCGTGCCAAAATTTTAGATTTTGAATAACAATATTTTAATAATTAAACAAATTTTTTAATTAGAATAAATATAAAAAAGTTAATTGAAAAGAGATGATAAGATGATAAACCGAAAGGATTGAAAAAAGCATGTGATAAATCGAAATCGTATGATACATTACGTGACAGATGATTCCTCATTACGTGCCACTTTGGGCACACGTGCCATAGGTTCGCCTCCCTGATATAGGTAAATTTTTTGTGCATTTAAGACATTTTGCAGATATTGTGTCACAAAGTTGCGCTTTACCCATACAAAACTCCATAGACGGTAGCGCCTCCATAGACAATGGCAATTCAAACTCGGGAGCCGGTTAGAGCCATGGCACTTTTTAATTTTCGAGTACACCCCTGCCACTATTGACCCGACTACAGAAAGAAGCAATTTTGTGTGTCTATTCTAATAATGGAGAATAGACACAGGAAAAATTGCTACTTGCTTTAGTGGGGTCAATGGGGGAGATGAGTGAAAACGGACTTTAATAAAAATGGAGATAATATAGATTAAATAATGAGATTTTGATAATATAGTATTAAAATCTGAAAATAAGCAAAAATGCAATAGAACAAAACAGTTTTCGCCCAACAATACGTTTTCTTCAAAACACAGATGTAGGTTTACCAAAAGGCATATATGATAAAAATTTTATTTTTGCCTATATATGCTTATATAATATCAGCAAGCATAATATTTATCGCATATCTCGTATTTTATTATTTTCAGAGTTTTGTTATATTTATTTGTATTTCAAAAGAGGTTCTTGTTATAGAAAATATCTACTTTTAATAATAATAATAATAAGGCATCTATGGAGGATGGATAGGGTAGTTATTGTACCTGTTGTTCTTTCCTGTACAGGTGTGATACCACACACACTACACAAAAGCCTGGGAACATTAGAATTGAGTAGAAATACATACATAACACTACAGAAGGCCACTATATTGAATACATGCCACATTGTTAGGAAATTCCTGAATACAGACACTGACACACTTATTTAATTTTAGTTTTGTTTTGGTTGCTATGCCTTGACTCTGGTCCGGCATAGTACACAGCCACCGGT